ACGTAGCTCCATTTTCTGCCTTTAAAAGCACACACAACCCACAATTCCTCTATTCGCTCCGACAAAGGGCTAACGCTCGAAACGTCAGCTTTTATAATCGTAACGGTGGCCAATTTACCATTTCAACTTTGTTGATATATTCAAATTATTATGTAAATATTATTTAAATACCACTTATCCATCTCTTACTCACCATCCATTGTTCCAGTTGTCCGTTCCAGAAATACTGGGAATCTGAATAGGGAGAACTGTGCGAAAACAACGGGAGAACTTTTGAATAAAAACCACCATCAGTGCATGATCTTCCCGAGGAATTCTATTTCGATAAGCTCGGTCGTTTCAGTTCCATGTGTAACTTTGGGAAGGAGAGGATTTCCCTCTTGACTTTGGGGGAATGATATCTTTGATTTGAGTGAACTAGTATGCTTTGCCTGGATAAAGTTTTAGGAACGGTGAACCACTTGAAAAGCACATGAAACTTTGGGTTAGATTCCGATCTAACAACAGGGCTCAAAACGTACCAATTGTTGTCATTTTCTTTGTTTAAAGGGATTAAGCTCTTTTGTTACGAGAAAACAAAATGAGCTGTTGTTTGTAGAAAAAAGAACTTTTTTAGTAAAATCGTGCTCTCTCCTTTTACAGTCTCGTAAAATACAAGTTACATGGTTGAAGTGACTGCTAATTTAAATACAGGTCTGCGCAACACGAACAGTTTGGATACCGATCGAAGATATGCATACATTCAGTTGCCATTTTGTTTAAATGTTAAGGAATTAGGTAGTTTTAAATAATCCTCACCTTGCCTGGCTACGACGCGTTTTCATATTTTGCACCTATATATCAGAGCAAAAAGTTCCTCTCGTGTCATCACAATTACAAATGACGCCGTTTTAATTCAATTTGTGACGTCATTGAATTGTTAATAAGGAAAAGTTTCCAAGAACTTTCATTAAGCAAGAAAATAATGTTCTCTCTTTAGCATGATAGATAAATTTTTTAAGCAGTAGAATTATTATTATAGTATCGGGGAAAAAAGCCTTACGATTGAACTGACGATGCTAAGCTAACCCAGAGATTGTAATTTGGTTATATCAACCAAGTTGAAATTGTAAATTGGCCAAGGTAAAGAGTTAAAAAGCTGACGTTTCGAGTGTTAGCCCTTCGTCAGAGCGAATGACGGTGGCCAATTTACAATTTCAACTTAGTTGATATAACCAAACTACCCCTACCGACGCAGCACCACAGTTTCTTTAGAACTTTACCCCACTTAACCCAGAGAGGGTAACTTTCTGTCACTTATTTTCAAAGCGTTGTAAGACTGTCCCAAAACTTGAATAAATTCTTATTTGCTTGGGTCTTGCTGCACGTTTAGATGAAGCCTCGTGAAACTTTAGCCCCAATATGTGTTCTCTCCAAAAGAAATTAAGAAATTTAATTTAAGAGCAACTCAGTAATTCTGGATCAGAGTGCTAATAGACTTGTGGGGCTAGTTGTTTCAAGGGCGCCAATCCAAGATTAAAATTCAAACTTGGCTTGTTTTTTCGTGCGTGAAGAATAGATTACGGCTAAATTGTCTTTGAAAGCCTAAAAACTGAACAAATACTAAAATTTACATAAGCCTAAGTACGTTTAGGGACTTGTGTTTCGTGTTTCGAAAACCCGGCCATGGATATCCAGCCTTGGAGCTGCAAGGGTCAAAGAGGAAGTTGTCCTCCTCGACCGACAGGAATTAGGGCTAAATATTATCATATTCAACGTGAAACACTAAATTTGTCAAATTACGAAGCAGGTGAAATTTTGATCGTTTGGAAGTAGACGTGTTGTTAGGCCATTGGAAAGGAAAGGAAATGTGGGCTAAGGTGACAAGGAACTCTGGGATTGCTATTTGCTTCCTCCAACAAAAGACCAGTTGAAAGACAAGATGGCGGAATCAGTTGTGAATGAAACCGTGGCGAATCTTTCAGCAACAATGAATGAAACAGCGAAGAATGTCACTGGAAGAGCCGCGGCAACTACAGAGGGAATGTTAATGGCGTATTCTAGTTTAGTTTTGATGGCGCTATTACCGATCTTTTTTGGTTCTTTTCGCTCCGTCAAATGTCTGATCGAACAGAAGGTTGGTCATCGATCGCCTAATCTTTTGATTTTCCGCTTTTTGTTTTATATCTTGTCTCCTTTTTTATATTCATTTAAAAATTTGAAAGTAGGATCTTACAGACCAGGATCTTGGATAGAAATTCCAGTAATCCCCTTGTGAATTGAAAGAGGAACTGGTTTCGTCTACGTGTACCCAGTTAACAATTTTTTTACCTTCCTCTATTCCTCTCACGTGGGTAAAAGGAACTGGGAAATTATAGATCATAGATCACAGATTGACTAATAATGCAGTGTAAGAAGACAAAAATATTTACGTGTACCTTATTCTGCAATCGCTTAAGTAATGTGTATTCATTGTTTTCACGATGAATATTACCAGTTACTTTTTCTGGTTTCATTTGCGCGCATAAATTTGATGATAGTTTTCGACTTGGTACATTTATTTCTTTGGTCTCTCAGACGAGTTTATTGGTATAATATTTTGTTCGTAAGAGACTCCATACGTTTTGTTATGCTTTATTCAAAATGGACTGGTAGATGAGCATGTCTTACTTTATTAAGTACACCAGACAATTCCTTCTAGTCCGAAAGACTCGCTCTTAAACTTAAGTTAGAGTACAGTTTTGAAACGCACGTCCTTCTATCCTTAACATTTCATCTACCATTTGAAAATATTGTTTTAATATCTTTTTGGCTAGTCCATTTGGAGCAGCTGGTTCACTACTCTTTCACACTTTTGAAACTTGATCTCAAAAGGTTTGAAACCCTTTGAAATCTTGGTCAAGGAAGTTAAAGCTCTTTCAACTCCCTCATAAACCTGTTTCTATCCAATTTATTTGTCAAGTCCAATTTGGCATTTTTGTCAATGGAGGATGATGCCAAACACTGGTGAAGGGCAATTTTGTTAGTTGTTGAATACCATTTTCATTAAAAAACAGAAACATGAGATGCGCTTTTGCTGTCACATTTTTGTAAAGTACCCATTGGTATAAAAGGTATCTTTTTGCATGTAAATAAATCAAGAAAGATGGTAAATATTGAGCTCAGTCGTCAGATAAAGAAAGGTGTCCTATTTTAGACCTTCATTTTCTTCTAGTGCGTACTGATCTCATCAACTTCACATCAAAACTTTGTTGTCTGTCCTCCTTACTATATTTAAAATTTTCTCCTTGGCATCTGTTTGAACAGAAATCTGGAGAAAAGCCAGAAAGCATGACATCTAAAGATGCTGCCATGTTTCCACTAATTGCCAGCTGTACTCTCCTGGGCCTGTATATCTTTTTCAAGGTGAGTCACTTTATGAGCAAACTTTATAAAATCTATTGACTTGAAGGTGAATAGGGCTCATTTTTTATTTTGTTACCACCTTCCTTAAGTTCCAAGGCCTATCACAAAAGTATATTTGTTGTGGTTGGTCTAAATAACCATTGTTCATGTGATGGTTATATCTGAAAACCTCAAAACAGGAATATGCCTCTCTCTTTTTTACATGACTACCAACTCTGTGTGAATCATCTTTAATAACTCATTTCACTCCCATGGGTGACCAAGACAGAATCTCTCCTTACAGTATCAATACAATATCAAGCGGAAAAGTAATGAGAATAAAGAAAAATATCAACAATGGGATTAACATTTGGTCTAACACCAACTCCTCAGAACAAACATTTTATAAGAAATCATGTCAGACAGTTAAGGACAATTTTGTTCAAGATACCAGGATTGAAAATGTTAAAAAATGACTTTGATTACTAGCAGAGCTGTGGTCTAGCAGTGCCTGGTGGCCCCTGGCATCTTACTTTTGCTCTTGGGCGACTCAGGAATCTTAGTTTTTTCATAAAAAGCATATGCTGGGCACCCTGGATTTCACTGTTTCAGAGCACAGGGCTCTCTTCAATTTTTCTTAGAGCACAGCCTGGACTGGTTCATTATAACTATGAACACTACCCGTACATGTAGCAGCTTTGACTTTTTATACACTAATGTACATGTCCTGAATTTGTTTTTAGATTTGGAGCAGACAGTGTTTTCTTTTTTTCATCCTTTTAGTTATTTAGCAAGGAATACATTAACTTACTTCTTGCTTTGTACTTCTTTGGTCTTGGTGTACTGGCAGTAACTCATCTGCTCAGGTAATGTCTGCATCATTTACTGAACGTGATTGAAATTAGTGTTAGTGTTATGAAAATACCCATGAAGTTAATTCTTAATTGTCCTCTGGCACATTTGATTATATGGCATCACCCTTTTGGCTGTTGAAGGACCAAACTGTTCGATTTTCCTTCCTGATAATTTTTACAGGGGCCAGTAAATTTGGAGTAGTCAAATCATGCAGTTAAACAAACTATGAAAATGTTAAAGTAGCAAATGTACTGTTACAGTAGCAGATCAGATTTGAGTGAGTAGTTTCTGTGGCTTTAGCATGAGAAGAGATGAGATTGAAATTTATGAGTCAGAAAACATTTATTTTAACAATTAAACAAGAAATCAAACTGTATTGATTGAAAATGGTAGCAAATTAATACAACAGATAACCTTTACAGTTTGACAAATCCAACTTAAAGCAGATGCTAAGCAACAAAATATTGTCGTTTTACCAAAGTCAATATTCCATGGATGGATTTCTTTGTTATTGGTGACTTTTATTGTGCTGTACAAGTTGAGGGTAATTGTGTGGGCAACTTCAAATTACCCTTGTGCTGTGCACCTGGCCAATTTGAAATCATCAGCCTAAATGTTGCTCCATTCTGTTCTAGGGTGTATTACTATCACTAAATAGATTAACAAGCTTTGAATCCATTTGACTCTTACAATTTCATTGTTTCTGTTGTGATTGAAACCCCATTGTTCTTTCTTCTTTTGCAGACCAAATGTCGAGCTTGTGTTACCAGCAGCATTTCCAAACAAGAACTACACCCTTGATCTTTTAGAAGGAAAGGGTGACAAGAAATCAGGTAATCACACGTACATGCGTGTATCTTGTGCTGTGTTGTATATCCTGTGAGGTGTAGTTTATTGAGATTTTCTTTTCTTTACAGAATTGGTGCACTATGAGTTTGACAGAATAGACCTACTTTGTCTTGGTATCTCAGCTGTTTTGGGAGTGTGGTATTTATGGAAGAAGGTTAGTTGTAATTGTACACATATTTTAAGGACTTATTTTGTAGGTCGATGAGAGATCTTGTCAGACTTGAGGTACTCTCAGATGTACATTTTACGTATGGTTTGCATGGAAAGAAATTCACACAGGATGTATTGTGAATTTAACAGAAATTAACCAAAGGATGTTAAGAGAGGGTCTTGATTAACACATGCACATAAACCTCAATTTTAATTGTAATATTATGAGAAAACTATGTGCTTTGGATTGGCTAAAAACAAGTGCATTTTTTCATGTCAACACAAGTGCAAATCTTAATAATGAGCTTGTGTTGTTAAATTTCTGTCTTTCATGTTAATTATTAATAAGTAATAAAAAAGTTTCTAATGCAATTTTGTGCAAATAGCTCTTGAAAATTTTTCACAGGCTACAAATTGCACTCGCCCTGTGGGCTCTTGCAATTTTTGTTGTTTTTTAACAACTTTCTTGTGCTTATGAACACCAAATAGCACTCAAAATCATGTTTACACCTATTCAAAGTGAATTTTTTCCATAATGACTGTGATAGTTATATAGCTTCCCTACTACCTTAAATCAGCTACATGTATTTTGCTTGCTTAGGAGAAATTTTAATCTTTGTTCTTTTTATTGTCAAGCAGTGTAAAAAAAGAAATCAGCTGTCAATTTAAACAGGCATTGAAAGTAATTTACCTGTAAGGTACAGCTTTTTTCAATCTGACACAGTATTGCCTATTTTCACAAAAAATATTAAATTGTCTACTTCCTTGTAGCACTGGATTGCCAATAACATATTTGGTCTGGCCTTCTCTCTCAATGGAGTTGAGCTCCTTCATTTGAACACAGTAACAACTGGCTGCATTCTCTTGGGAGGTCTCTTTGTATATGACATATTCTGGGTAAGTGCCTTAGTTCCTAAATTGTTTCTCAGTGAAGCTAGCTTTATGTAAGAGTTATGGGATAGTGGAAAAGTTTTGACAAATATTACTACCACACAAGTTTTCCAAAATATCCTTCACAGTTATGTTTTTGACTGATGCAATCAAAAAGCTAAATTTTTGTTAATTTTCCAAGATTCCCTTTTGCCTTTTTTGGTCATTATTTTTAACTTTCTTTCCCCCCTCCCCCTCTTTCTTTAATCTGCCTCATTTCCCACCCCATTTTCTATCCCTCTTCCTAGAGATGGTTTGAAGGAAGTAAAATTCTAAATTGTGTTCAAATCTACTTTGTATTGTAGGTGTTTGGAACAGATGTTATGGTGACTGTTGCCAAATCCTTTGAGGCACCAATCAAATGTAAGCAGAGAGAGCACTGTTTGAAGTTCTCACTCTTTTTCATGCAAGGAGAATTGTTAAGCAAATAAATCCATTGTACAATGTAAATGTACACTTGTAAATTATATTAAACCACAAGAGGGTAGCTTTAATATCTAACTGTGCATTGCTCAGCTATAGAAACACTGTTGTATTGGTGAAATGTTTAGCTATCATTCTAAGGAACGTGATACCCAAACAATGAAATTTTTCTAGGTATTATAACTTTGTCCTTATAGACCACTTTCATAAATGGCTGCCAGATTAATATTCTTTTGTTTAAATTTGAATTAGCCTTTCTGGCCTCGTTCTCCAGTACAAAATTCAAAAGAATACATTATCTCAAGCGAGGCCAGAAAGGCTAATTTAAATTTAAACAAAAGAATATTAATCCGGCAGCCATTAATTTTATGAAAGTGGTCAATGTCCTTATAAATATAAGTGCCTATGAGAGTGGTTTCCAAGTGAAATGAATATTGTTTGCCATTGCTTGTCCAAAAATTATCAGTCTAGCAATCTGTCTCTCAAAAGGTCCTAAATGAAGTTTTCATACAATGTTCAAATGTGTCATGAAACTATACATCACTTATTGCATGTAATAACAAACTAGACACATAATAAAGTTTGTCTCTTTGTCAAGTTCATTTTTTCCTCGATCCAATTGCAGTGATTTTTCCAATGGATCTCCTTGACAAAGGACTATCTGCATCCAACTTTGCTATGCTTGGACTTGGGGACATTGTTATACCAGGTGAATTAAATTGCAAAAACTTGTGTTTCTTGTTGCCATTTGTCACTGTAAACTGATGAAGATCTCTCTTTTTTTTCTTGTTATTTGTCAGGGATTTTTATTGCACTTCTGTTGAGGTTTGATCATAGGTGAGTGGGTCAGTTCTTCCATGATTAAAACTTAGACGCTCCTCATACTCTCCTCATAAGGTGTAATACGTTGATCAATTCAAAGCTTCAACATCCCAAGGGCATTTGAATGTGAGGATTGGCTCATTCCATGGATTCGTGTGTGATTAACAAATGTTGTAAAATTTAACAAGCTCAATTCGTAGTTTTTGCTGCTACTGTTGGATTTTTCCCTTGTAAGTATCATTCTATGACATAAAAATTGTCTTTCTAAGCCATTTGTTGATGAAAACAAACTCTTTACCATTGTAAGCATCATTCTATGACATGAAAATTGTCTTTCTCAGCCATTTGTTGATGAAAACAAACTCTTTACCCTTAAACTCATTCATTATGGGGGTGAGACTTTACACTTTTGGTTCAACATCTCACCCCACCCTGGTAAGGCTTCACATTCCCATCTCCAGGTGCTGATGACAGTCAAATATCTGTGGGTTGGGGGATAGGGTAAGAAGGATGTTGATGCTTTGAATTGATTGGCACATAAAAAATAATTGTTCACATAGGGATGATGGGACTTGTTGGCCAAAAATGTGAGAGGTTAAATTTACTTATTTTTGTACCCAACTTCTGATTGGTTTAATTAGTAATACACTGTAGTTATTACAGCTTCTCAAAGAAGTACATGTGTAAATCTTTTTCCTATCAACAAACTTCTTTGTAACAAAATGTACTCTGATTGTATCTAGAACACAAAACTTCCAGGTGTGGAATTTTTTAAATTGCAAGATTTTGTTGTCCATTGTTTGCTTCTCTTTTAATCAATGGAAACTTAATGTACAAACAGAAGGTGCTGTGATAATGGGATTAAAATACATTTACAAGAAGTTATTGCATACACAGTATGAAAATGAAACCCTTCCTGTACACAGAAAACATGTTACTGTGAGACAAATTGATAAAATGCTGTAGTTTTATGTGGATTATTCCTTACCATTTGCCTTTTTTTTTTTTTTTTTTTTGGGGGGGGGGGGATTAGCATGTGAATATTGGAAATTTTGTGAAAGACACTTTTTATGAAATTTCCTGTTGACAGCAGCAAGAAAGACAAGGCCAGCCGTGTGTATTTCTACTCTGGGTTTGTTGCATATTTTCTGGGCTTGGTACTGACTGTTTTGGTGATGCATACCTTCAAGGCTGCTCAACCTGCCCTCCTGTATCTGGTACCAGCTTGTCTGGGAACCCCAATCACACTGGCTCTCATAAGAGGAGAAATTTCAGATTTGTTCAAGTAAGTTTGATGAGTACAGTCATTTTAATCCTCTTTAAGCAGAGCTGTATCTGTGGTTGGTGGCTTGTGCCCTTCTTTGGAGGTGAGGCCATCAAGTGGGTCAATTTTCTCCCTTCTTGTCTCTTCAACTCTTAGGCTTTTCTTTGTTCAAAGCTAACTGGCCAGCCTCGGCTCAGATGAAACTTTTTGCCAGATCCTGTTGATTTGAAACTAATGCTTGTTTCAATAACCCTATGGAAAAATTTGAGAGGTTAAATTTGTAAACTTTGCCAGTCCATTTTGTAAATCCCACAGAAGATTGCTGACATGGTCCAAACGACGGAGACGTTTTCAATTCAGCACACTCTTTTGCTCTACTTTGCTCCGTGACTGATCCAGAAAATACCAAGCATGGTTGAGGGTGTCTTTGAGTTCCTGTTGGTTCTTTAGAATATGTCATGTTCTTCTAAGATATTTTCCTTTAAATATTACATTTTTATCATTATTGTTATTATTATTATTATTATTATTATTATTATTATCATTATTATTATCATTGCTATCGGTTTTTTGACATATGATCAAAATAAGCTGTGATGAATGTGGTGTGAAACAGTGCTCAAACTTGTCAACATTACTGCAGGTACGAGGACAACCCTGAGAAAGATGCCAAGGAAGAAGACAAAACTAGTCAAGGAGAAAGCAGCGAAGAAGTCAACGGCGAAACAAAGAAAATCCTGTAATCGAACATTACCTCTGATGAATTATTGTGCTGTTATTTTAAGTGTAATAACTTAATTTTAGATTAATTTCTAGATTAAAGAAGATCGTGAAATCTGTAAAAGTATATGAAGTGCTTTGGTTAATTATGTTTTGTTAAACCATCATTTTTAAATGCTCCCCCACGGACATGTATCACCCCCTCTTTCGTCGGAATATTTTTGTGTGACATTCACCTTAAGCTTGAGTCGCCTACTGAGAGAATGTTATTAAAAGTAGAAGGACACAGTCTTCGCTCCTGTTCAATTTCGTGAACAGCAAAACATTCCAATATAATTAAGGCTGGTAAGTTCCTCTTTTAGAGAAAGTAGGGTGTGTACCATTTTCAAGAGGGTATGTGATTTTGTTCTTTAGGAAGCGACATATTCACTGTTCCTGGAGTATCCCGAAGATTTCTTACGAAGCATAGTTTGTGTGGGGTTGTAAATTTTATCCTTAGCTCAAGCTGTCCTTTTCTGTTGTTTATCGTATGGTGCAAGTTTTAAACAGAGGACAATAAATCTTGCATGGGGGTGAAACTCAGCAACAACGCAATGTACCGATTTGTGTTACATGTATGTGGGGATGAAACTGACTCGCTGGGTATCATTAGGCACTTGTATTTGGCTGTCTGCGTATTTCCCAAACGATGCAATTACACGCGACTTTTTTTCCATGTCACTTAAAAGCCATCACTTATCATGACGGTCATGTTTAACAGATAGCGACCTTTAAAAACTAGTAAACTGCAGGAGGAACACGTAAAAATATTGTCGTAATTCGAAGAAGAATATTAAGCAAGACAGTTTATAATCATATTAAAGTACAACTTTCGCTTAACTTTTGACGAACATTATTTATTTCTGGCCATTGAAATAGAATTATCCCCTCGGAAGAAAACTGCCACGACATTAATAAACAACAGTAACATTATGTTGATGTCTGGTTATTTTTACTCTTCGAGTCATAGAAAAGTATGTAAAAGCGAGCAAACTAATCGATAATTGAGTCTTGGAGCGGTAATTTTTATATCATTTCAACTGGTCTGCTGTACTAGGTCACCATGCTTCGTAACTGGGTGCACACGCGCGAGCCATTAATGTAGCCGATCCAAGTTTTTCACACTATTCAAATTAAGACAGTATAAGATGACTTATATAACTAGGTGAAGAAGATAATGAGAAGTAGATATCATGCAGGTTTGTATATGTGTGCACATTGACCAAAGTAGCCGTAGCTTTCGTGTTGCCATTTGGCGAGCTATTATGCGCCTGTTCAGATGCGCAGGGCAATATTAGGAATCACCATTTACGCGCGCGCAAACTTGGCGCGTGGCGTCGCAATTTGAATCTTTCATTATGACGACACAGAAAACAAGTGTCGGTTTGACCACAACTGAAACCAAAGTGAAACCCCAGTTAAAGAAGTGATATTGGTCACTGATTGATGATAATATTTGAGGTAAGTTGGATCTTTGTTGATAAATGGTTTTCTTGCAACTATCGGGCTTGATTTGAAGAGTTTCTTTTCTTTTGGGCACGCACGTCCTCAACCGTCGAAGAGTTAAATATACATATGGAGATAGAGCAGATCCTAAGCTTAGATCAGTTGCATGACAACTTCAGTGAAAATCCTTTTTTTTTCTTGTTGGTTTATACTTAAATCAAAGGTGGCACTGGTAAATTGAAGCTTGCCGCCCAAGATAAACACGCCTTTATAATTGATCAGTACAGAGCTGCTTCTTTTCGTCAGTTTCGCAAAACGCATAGAGGTGTTAAAACCGCACCCGGTGCAGCTACTCACCGGGAGAACTTGAAGGAGAAGGTAACTATAGCATGACTTATAAAATTTTGGCCAGCTCCATCGCACTGTAAATACGCATTAGATGTTCTTGTTAAACGAAGATAATTTTACGCCCGCTGCTCCTACTCACTGAAGTAGATGTCATGGGCCAAAGATTACGGATGCAGTGACCTTAAAGCGGATTAACCAGTCTTGTTCGACTCACGCCTAAGCCATGTTGATGTTCCTGCCATGCACTGTGACTGTGAATTAAAGATCCTTTACTCATACTTTGGTCTCCCATGACCTAACTTGCTGAATGACTCGGACCTGAAGTACATCCGCTCCTTAACTTTGGAGCACTTTGCCCCAGAAGGAAGTCAGATAAGTTTGAGGTTATAAACTGAAAATGCTTACATAACACATATTTTATTAACTGGCGTTTGCTAACTCATGGTCGAGGCGGGCTGAATGATCTGGTATTAGCTAGAGGTTAGAATCCCTTGGTATAGGTAAGAATTTTTTATCCTTTTAACTTCCTCTTAAATTTTTCTTGCACAAATCTGCTTGCTTGACAACTTTTTCAAATGACCCACCCTGACCCATCCCTACCCCCTCCCTCCCCTGTTGCCAATGGAGTCAGCTTTCTGCCCTCGAAACCTTTTTTGGACAAAAGCTATTACTGCGTCATAAACGTCGTAATCCGGCATGCAAATAACTCGTAGCTCTTTGTGTTGTATCACATCATATGGTTCTTCCGACCAAGCAGGATCGGATGTCAAGCCCCAACTACACAAACATATTTTTATTTCTAGCTTACTCATGAACTCAAGACCAGGATATCAACAAGATAAGCCAGATGTTCCTTATATCCCAGCAAGTTGTAATCAGAGAATGGGAAACGTCAACTCGGCAATCACCACCCAACCCACAAGGGCAAATCAGAACAACGCATATCATCCGGGAACTAATTACCAAGCCCCACATAACTGGGCAACTGCAGAACGCTTCCCACGAGCAATATCAACGAATCCATTCCTCCGCAGGCAAACGGGAATCCCTTGGTACCAAACTCAACGCCCAGGAACAAATCCGAATGCATCGCAACATCCGGGAACTAATCTACACTTAAATCCGATACCAAATCAGATTGGCAGCATTCATGTGCAGTTTCCAGGTCCTCCTCTTTTTACACCATGGTCAGGGACTTTTCAATTTCAGGGAAATGGTCAAATATGTGAAGAAAGAATTCCAAATAGGGCCACATTTCAGTTTCAACCAGCGACGACTCGGGTGAAGAGTGGGAAATTAACGCCATCAAGACAGAGACAAAATAAAAGGTTTCTGAATTCTGCATTATTCGGACGGGATGACAGAGTGGAGAAAAACGTCGAAGAGAAACACCAAAAGGAAGAAGGAAGTCCACAGACTGAAGAAGCCATCCAGGAGCAAAGAGAAAGAATTGCTATAACTAGCAACATAAAACACCTTGCAACAAGTTATTCCAAAGTCAAGGCACTAGAGCTTTTGTGCAGAGACCTTCAGACACCAGTGTTAGGGGATTTTCCAGGGTACGAACAAGAAAGGAATATCATGATTAATCTTGCACACTTTTTAAAAGAGCAAATAAATAAGATCAAACATGTTGAAGAGGAAGAAAAAAGAAGAAACTGGTTGGAAAATTTCGAGCCTGCCATGCGCGCTCCTTTTCCTGTCATAGCCATTAAGATACGCGAGCTCGAGAATAAAAGAAATATGCTTGAGAAGGAGAAGAGAGACTTTGAAAACTTAAACAAGGAGGTTAAGAATTACGCGGGTGAAATTGAACTTCGAGAGAGGACAAAAGAAGTGGATATGTTGAAGGCAGAAATAGAAGCATTCGATACTCGCTTGAAGGCTATGAGGGAGAGGATGGGCTTGGAGCGGAAGAGCATCGATTTAAAACGCACCCAACATGAACGGGAAATAAAGGAAATAAACAAAACTCTTAATCACATTTTATACAAAGATCTTCCTAAACTACAAGAAAAGATCTTTAAGGAGACAAAACCCCTTATCGAAGTAAAAAATGAATTAAATAATTGGAAAGAACAAAATGACTGCATACGGGCGCGTATTTTTGAAACGATGGCGCAGAAAGAAGAGTTCAAGAAATTTGCGCGCTAAATCCTGAAAGTTCCTCAACCATTGTTTGAATGCCGCCACTTATGTTTTTTTTTTTTTTGCTTGTTTATTATTTGTGTGTTCGTTTTTTTCTTTGCTTGCCATTATCAAGATTGGGCTCCCAGGGAAGTACAGATGGTCATTCCATGAGTAGTACTTGTTCATTTACAATCAGTCCCAGTATGAGAATTTTCTTAGTCATTTATGCTGTATGATGCTGTAAATTCTATAGTTTGTATGCAAAGCATTGTGAGTTCTCAACTAGTTGTAATAAAGTATTAATACTAATCAGAGCATGATGTTAACATCACTGGTGGTCAGTTTAGGGCTTTGGGACGCTGCTGGTGTCGTAAAAAAATGCACAGGGTTTGCGGAGGAATTCACTCAATCTTTAGTAACCAATAAATAGAGTTAATAAATGGCTTGTAAAGGGGGTTGTAAATAGGCCTTTATAGATTATGCTAGTAAAAGTAGCATATTGTGCTAGTAGCATTGCTTTTTTGGCGAAATTATGCTAAAATTATGCTCTTCAATTTCCAAATTATGCCCCTTTTTTGAAAATTATGCTCTTTGAAAAAATTGCAAATAAGTCTAAAAAATACATTTTGGTCTACAAGAAAGAAACGCAACAAATCCAAAATGAAATTCAAATAAACATGTGGTTCAAGTTAACATACACACCGTCTAGTACTAGACTATACTCTCATGTGGCTTATCTGCGATTGCGCCATTTTGTAATTTGTAGCCTTGCCTGATGAGAGGTACTGGGACCAACATGGCCTACAATGTGACTTCCGGTTCCGGTGCACCCCAGACAAACAAACAAACAAACAAACAAATACTCTATTTACCGAGCGTAAAATACATTATTACCGGTTACCCGGTAGTTTACATTATCATCAGTAAGGGGCAAAATTACTGAATTGTGATTGGTCAAGACAGAGGGCATTTTTTCTTAATTTTTGCAATTGCCCCGGGCAAAATTACTTGAAAATGATTGGCTGAAAATCGCTTAGCAACGACTGCCAAGGTAAAGAAATTTCTGTTTGTTTTGTAACAATGGCGTCCCGTTTTGCGCGAGATCAGTAAGAAAACATTTTGCCCCTTATATTATAAACAAGTAATCACATGGTTCCTCGTAAAAATTAAGGATTAATATCACTTGTGTTTTCGGAAGTTGCAGAAATTGCCCGAGTCGCGTCGCGACTCGGGCAATTTCAACAACTTCCGAAAACACGCGTGATATTAATCCTTAATTTTACTCGCCCCCATGCGATTACCTATACTAATGGCTCCCAGTAGTTTACATAGTGCCCCGGGCTCAGACCGTTTCAGACGCCGTTCAGTGATTCACAGTGAACTACAAATGCTACTACTTGAACTAAAACTTAAAACATCGAATAACGTCACCAAGTGATTGGGAGTAGAGATGAACAATGATCAAATTGTAGCATCCAAAAATGATCCGATAATTATCAAAATAGGGGAATCATGCTAGCATTGCTACTTGGCAGAAATTATGCCAGTTTGCTCAAATTATGCCAAAAATAATGCTAGCACAATCTATAAAGGCCTAATTGTAAAAGCCTACCATAAGAAAACTCTGGTCTGCAAAGTTGCATACAATTGATTGTTACAGACTGATAAATCGATAAAAAAAAAACTTGCCTGGAACACCGTTAGATTTCTTGACCAGCTACCGAAATAACGTTTTCCAATCAATCCTTTTAGTCACTCTCAAGATCTCATCAGTAATTCTCCTAACTTTCTGCGATACAATTCTCATGATGTTAGTTCGGAGAATATGATATCGGATCGACTGTAATAATCCTTCAATCGATGTTTTCTTCTAGTTACTCTCCACACTTGTCTGCTTGATGTTGTATTGATATTGTAAGGGGAAATTCTGTCTGGGTCACTTATGGGAGCTATCTTAAGGGTTAAAAGTTTCTCTACCGGCTTATTGCTTAAATTTACAATGCAAGTTCTCCTCTTCTTGAACGCTCCGTTGTCCATACTAAAGTTTAGTCAGAATGACTCAACATCTATTAAGAGATTGGGCAGAGGATATTTTTTTAAGGCAGCAAAGAGATTTAAAAAAAAGCAAGTAAGAACGGGAATGTATCAATACACAAAAAAGTTCCTGGAAAAGTTTTAACAATTGACAAATTTTGACGCTGGTTTTCCATTCAGGGAATAAAGCCACAGTCTCCTCTCCGGGGGATGTCAAACTGCATCTTCAAGGAGTGGAAAGAAGACGTTTAATCCATCAAGAATTTATCATCAAGGAAATCAGTCAGTGATATGAATCATACTTACCTTTTTTGCGTTGGCGTTGGGTTTTACAATCTGTAGCTGATAAATACAGGCTTGACTTCCAAGCTTAACCCTCTCGATGTCCGGAAACAGCTCAAATTTACAAGATCACGGCTTGGCATATTGGTTTCTAAATCAGGCAACAAAGAAATAGTTGTTGCGAGTGTGTATCGCGATTGTGGTGAGTAAGCTGATGAAATCAGGGATAAAAAGCCATCAAATAGACAAATCTTCAGGTTAATTAATAAATCTAGGGCAATATTTAGATCTGTGAGATTTGGATTTAAGTAGTGGATTTTTCTACAGAGTAAACAGATACTATCTGTCGGTCAAAGTAAAAGCCTGAAGCCTCAAAATCTGTTCTAAATCGACATCAACAAGGATTCCTGAAGCGAGAATTTTCTTCTGTTGCTATTTTGTGGTTCGCTCTCGTTTGAAAGGGATTGGGGAAAGAGAAAACTGCCGAGAAGCTTATACAACAGTTAGCGTAATAACAGCAAGTCGACTAGTGATGGTTAAATTGAGTTTTGGGAAAAAAATCACAAACACGGAATTACTCTCAAAACAGTAACAAACTTGTCGAGTAATCATCAAAAACATTTTTTGGTTGACCAGAAGTCAGTTGAGGTGGGGAACTGCTACCCAGATTTCTGGTTATAAATTAGACTGTGATACCTAGTGACCCAACTAAGAACTTTTCTTTGGCCAGGTCGACTCGCTTAAGCTGACGAAAAGTCCTTAGTTTGGGGGAAGTTCTGTTTAGCAAGCATGGTTTAAAATTTACAAGGTAGTACAGTTTACTACTGAACGATATTTCGAATAAGTCCTTTTATACATACATTCTAAGAAAGGTTTAATCTAAGAGCGGTAGATTGACATTTAACGTTAAATTCATAATTGAGACCGTAACTGTTCCTTGGAGACGGAACGTGCACAGACAGATTTTTCCGGACTGATAATCAAAGCTGCTAAATGAGGCTCTCTGTAATCTTATTAATGTTCTAGGATAATGGGATAGACCACCTTATTCAGCCTAAACAGAGCCATAAACAGTTAAGCGTAGGAGGGTTATTTTGAGTTTCATCGCAAACAAGATTACAAAAACTGATTTGTGAGTTGGGAGATGCAGTGGCGAAGGAGAGTATTAAAGTTTCCTACTTCTAAATGCCCAATCGCCTATCGCATGATACCCCATTTCCTCCCACCCGGCTCCTTGTTATCTCTGCTCAAACTTCTGACTTCTTCTCTTTCGCAAAGAAGGACACTCCGAGTTAGATGTAATAAAAACTTTCTGTCACGGCTCTGTTCTTGAAAGACCGGCCGATAAACTCACTGAAACATACTGCAATCAGACAGTATCCAATCAGCATGCTTCTTGGAGGGTGATTTAAGATATGCTACCAAATGAATTTTATATCTATGCAATGGTTTATCTCTGAATACACAGCTTTGTTGCATCCATCTCAGTTGTTCGCACTTGTACGTCGTGCCAGTTATACCTGCAAAACTTCCATACCTCTCCATTTCAAAGGGGCTTAAAGCATTTCTTGATTAAAATTCTACAAAAGTTTTGAGTTCTGCACCGCGTCTTGTCTACCTACCTCAATTTTTTTATTTGTAAGATTCGTAACCGGAACACTGAAAGAGAACAAACTGAGCAAACTCAGCTTTTGTAATCATTACGGTGGCCAATTTACCATTTCAACTTTGTTGATATATCCACAAAAACTCGTGAGTAAAAGTCGACCAAAGTTCGCGTTGTGGTCATTCAAAGGTACCGTCCGTCTGGAAAAAAGGGCGCCAATTCGACAGCTTATTGGAAGATTAATGTGATCAAACAGGATTAAAACTAACATCAACACTGACTAAATGTAATGCCAAGGCGAAGTCGAAGGAGTCACCAAAAACCGTGCCTTGTTTTCTTCGGGGAAAATATCTACCTTGGTCCAAAAGTCGTTAAACATGATCGCCGACATAATAGTAATCCTGTTAACTCTGATAAAAAGTTCCCCGCTTTGAAATCCGCTTACATTCTTATGTTGAAAATAAAACTCAGTTATAACGTACTTAAAGGACACGCACATGCGTGTCGTAAACATGGTGCAATCCCACATCTAAAACTTTTGACTAATTTTTAGTTCGAGAGATTGTCCCGGTTATCTGAATAATGACTACACGTATTCTCACGATTTCCTCTTCAAGGATGGCGGTTTTACGAATATTTGACGAGTCAGAAGGCATGGAAGTGAACCAGTGGCTTGTTCATTACTGTCTTCACTATCCCATCGCTCAAACTGAGATCCCAGAAAACGTCTACTTGAGTAAGTTCACTCCACGTGAATCTATGGTTTAGCAGAAGATAAATCTCCTGTGGCTCTTCCACTGCCAAAAGCCGGGGTTGCTTTATTTCTTTCACCGAAGCTGATACTAAATTTAATCTATTTTAACTCTCTGGGTTTGCAACGAATGCATGGAGAATTATCCGATTAGTGTAAGCCGCCAGACACGGGTGTGCGCATGTTTGGACTTCCTCCTGTTGATGTGTTGCTCAAGTGTGTGGCCGAAGCGTTAAAGTGATTAGAAATTCTGCTTTGGTCGGTTTTTTAAAGGTTGTTGTTTTTGTTTCACAGTTTTAATAACTGATAAGTGTGTCAGTGATCACGTCGTGTAATGCAAGACAAAAACTCATTAAGATGGTCAAAATTGCCCTCGCAGACACATCCTCCCCAACTATTATTTTGTTCGCATGCAAAGTGACACGCAAAGTACTTTAATCGCCAGGATTTTTTAAGATGCCATTGTCATGTCATAACAAATTAAAAAGCTAGCGATTACTAAAAACGGTGAAAATGCCCAGACAAAATATCGAATCATTTTGGACGATGATTAATGTGACAATGCTACGTTCATTCAAATCTAAAATAGCAAGGATTTAAAAATTTTAATCGTGATTTAAGTAGTTTTAATCAGCACGTGTCGCTTTGTAGATAATCAAGTGAACAAAATCCCTAAGGAGCTTTGATTATAATACCTCCCCGACTGATGATTGCTAAATATATCAATAAGGTGTCTTTTTCATCTCTAGTATTTGATGTATCTACTAGTTTGGATTGGTAAATGATGAAGTAAGATCGAGCGTATGGTGAAATTTATAGACAGACAAAACGTTTTACACCCACATGGGCGTTTCCTGAAGCGTGCGGCTTTGTAAGTGTCTTGTTCCCATAACTGCGATCCCAGACGGATAATCTTACCAACGAGGGCAATGATATTCGCCTGAGGAAGTATAAATATTACTGAGAAAGGAATTATCAGAGAGAGAAAGGACAAGATATTAAAGGGAGCTGTCATCAGTTCTTATTCCAATTAATTCAAATAACTGGTGTTTGAATTAAAGATCACACTGAGTTAGCCTGCAATGTTCTCGACAGATAACGTATGGATGGCAGGAAAAAAGTTATCCCTCTTGACGTGGGGATACTCTTAGACCGTTGAGGAAGAGTGAGATGCGGCAGATGCCCTCAAATCTAACTTTTCCCCTATTTCAAACGACAACAAGAGCTTTTATCTTCCTCATTTTAGACCATTCCCAATCAAATACCCTAATGGAACCTTTTCCCAGTTTCAGACCCAGGTGGGATCAGGTTTACTAGAGTTAGATAGCATTGATAAGGGAATACCTCTGTAGGTTTTTTTTTTTTTATTTCCAAGGTCAGAGTTACGATTGTGTTGGGAAACTTAAAACGAGAAGTTTATGATGACACCCATACAAATTTATGATTACCAAAGTGGAATGATAAGCACTAGAGAGATAAAAAAGAAGCAAACCCTTCTTATTTATCCGGAAATCGGTTCAAGCAAGAGGTATTAAAGAATTTATCTTCAATGACGGAAGAAATAGTAGAGGTAAAACAAATAGGAAGAGGGATGATTTTTCCTTTTTATATAAACCAATAAGGTTCTTTGGATGTAAGAAAATTCCTTTTCGTTAACTGTTGGCGAGACCGAGAGGTCACAGTCAAAGGAATTGAACAAACATGTTTTGGTCTTTACCTATATACAATTTTGATTAATCTCAAATGTTAGTAGAGGTCAGTCTATCGAACACACGTTTTACATACGAATCGGGCTATTGGTAATTTTCAAACGGATAAGGTGACGAAAGAGGTGGACTGCGTTTTCAGAGTGTCAAAGAAGACTTTGAAGTTTATGCATGAGTTTCTGAAGTAAGAATAGAATGAGGAACGTGACAGGAACTTTGTCTAGTTTGCTTTTGGGTGGTGTCTCCATCCTTTACCGTTAGTATTCTCAGTAAACTGCCACAAGTGCCTGCAGTTAAGCCGACGGTATGGGGCTACCTTGGTTCTAGTGGATCAGCGTCGAGATGTAGGTCTTCAAATCCAGCGAATTTAATTGAGTGTCACAAAACCAAAATCAAAGTAATCACGACAGCCAATCATATTAAAGGAAAATATCAGAAGAAGCCAATGAGAGCGCAGAGGAAAAGCAAAGAAAGTGCACGAGGCAAAGGCAACCACGAGTGACCAAATAATGGTTTTGCATCTGATTGGTTGAGAGGGTAGCCCGAGCTTTCTTGACCAATCACAGAGCGGAATGAAGTAAACCTAATTCGATCATGATTTACTTTCCACTCTCACTTGTAATTTGGTCTTTACTAGCTCGGGGTTACTTGTTACGCCGTTTGTCGGCTTCTTGTTCTCCTCCTAATAAACTCCTTTCACTCTTCTGAGAATGTAATGCCATGACAAGAGGGGAGAACATCAACATGATCAAGATAACATTGCTAAATAAATTACAGAGAGAACTTATTTTCTGATCACACCACTCTGATTCAATGTGTCAGTCAGTGCACGTAATTAGGCTTAAAAAGCGTTGGGCAAAAGAACTAAAATCCACCAAATAAGTAGTCTTAGAACGAAAACCGAAAATATTTTCCTTATTTTTACCGTTTTTCCTCTTTTCCCTAATGATTTCCTCGACGAAAGTATTTCCTGTATAACCGTAAAAAAAGAGCTTAGGCATTGAGCCATCTCTGGTAGGGATATCTCCGCTATCTTCAACGTGTTTCAGTGCACGTAATTAGGTTTGACTTCAAAATTATCACAGTAGTCCAAGTGCAAATGCCAAGTTAAGCTTTGTTTTAAAAGCGTCGAGTTTAAAAGTAAAAAATTCACCAAATAAGTAATCTTAGAAGGAAAACTGAAAATATCATCATTATTGTTATCGTATTCCCTCTTCACTGATGATTTCCTCGACGAAGGTATTTCCTCTGTCACTGTAAAAGAACTTAGGGGTTGAGCCATCTCTGTCAGGGATATCTCCGCTATCTTCGAGTGTAGCCATCGTCTTCAATTTCCCATTTACCGAGCGGAAATGCGCAGCTCCAGTTAGATCTAGAGTATGATTTCAAAGCTGGGCGCTTCCGTCAAGATCAAATGATTAGGAAATGTTTACACTAAAAGAAATTAAAAAAATTATGAGAAAGTAATTCCCCAATTTTGACGAAGTTTTGAAATGTTTACCTGTCTTTTCCCACAGCGAGACTTTCCGAGATTAAAGATTTTTCTTCCTGGCCACCCGATGCTCAAAAATAAAGCAAAGTTGCAAAAGGTTTCCTGTTCTAGTTTGAAAAACCTCCCTCTTGGAGAGTGCCATTTAAAAAAATTTTTTATAGAGCCGGACGACTGAAGACATTCAGCCTTTCCGCTTTCAGTTTTCTGAGGGAAAGCCCCATCATTAGTCTCTTAGAAACAGACTGACAAACTCGAGCGCTAAATAAAGTGAGTATGATCAACTGTGAAGTTTGTTGCTTGTAAAATGACTTTTGTTTTATTTTGATACAAGTTAAAGCAAAGAAATTCAATCGGGGTTTTGGAGTTTGACTCCATAAGTGGAGCACCCTTGGATGTACAAGGGTTGTTTGTACGTCCAACGAGTTAAAAAAAAACCCTCAAGGTCAAATAATTTTCCATCCTAGCCACCCGATACTCAAAAGTAATTCAAAGAATTCGAACTTCCTGCTTCATATTGATGGACGTCCTCCTTTGAAGGCTGGAAACTTGCTGACTGATGACATCTGAACTGAAACCTGTTAAGTTCTAAAAACCTTACACTCAAGCCAAGAGCAAAAGAAAAAAATCGTCGTTGTAGTCTTCCTGTCTCATAAGTCTGTAAGTTGTCATTCTTTAGTTGAAACACTTGACTTACACTAAAAATGTATCAGCTCAAAACTGAAAATGGATGAAAATGTAGGCTCGACCTGAAAATTAATAACTGCTGCTGTTCGACCCGGTATAAACTCATCAAATTAAACAGAGTTTCCTTACAAAGGAAACAGAATTAGATAATGAGAAAGCAAAGTTCAAATTTGAAACAAAAACGCTCGAGGTAATTACAAAGCCAAAGTTGTTTACTATATAAACTTTCCGAAGGGACAAAACATGCAGCCAAAGCAAGATCTAGATTGAAGGTATGATTGGCTTTACACGTTCAGCTACTCAGTGTTATAACGGTTTTATGTTATCCGGTATCGTGTTTAGATAAAAAATAACCTCAGCATCGTTCTGTCAGCACCAAACTACCTCAGAGTATCTTTCAGTATTGCTGGTACCCTCATTTATAATAGGTTTCAGTAACGGTAAACAGATTTTTGTATATCTCTCAGGGGATGTCATTGTTCTACCCTACGGTTTAAAGGCAGAAAATTTTTGTTTTAGAAGAAAATATTTGATTGCGAAATTCAACATCAATTTCTTTTGAAGTCGGATAGGTCGGAAATTTAAAAAGTGTTAGGAACTCGGCAAGAACTGAAGTGACACGCGAGATGCGAGGGCAGACACGCGTGGCTTCTTCGTTGCGCGTGCCTTTGGAAATAACTCGCGGCTCGTTAGCTGAATATCTGGCGCTTGCTACCCTGTGGCTAGTCGTCTTTTTCACAACATCACATTCTATGATGTACAAGGGTTCTTTATCAAGGCGAAGAGGCCTTAGACTTCCCGTCCAGATGCACCACTCCATGTCTATATGTTCGCGCTTTGCAGGTCATCTCAGTACAAGACATACTTGTCTAAAGCCTGCATGTTTCAATCGCCAAGGTTCACAATCTTACGGTGTCAAAAAGGCACCGAAACTGAAACTTTCGGATGAAGAGGCGGTGCTAATTATTTTTTGCGCTTAATCCCTTGGAACTCTAATGGAATTTGTGGCCATTTCAGTAGGTTATCACCTGCACAATGTTTCCTTGTGCAAAAAGTTTTGCTCCTTACTTCGCAAAGCCTGTGCTCAAACAATTCCTAGGAGGAAACGCGATCACTAAGAGATTTGTCGATAGTACTCGCTGCCTATAAACTTACCCGAGTCAAACTCGGCAAAAGCGAAAGCGTTTGCCGAGTTGAATCCTAT